CGAACCCGCCATTGACCATCATACTGAGGCAGAGCTGACCAAAGGACGCCTGGAATCTGCCGTCGGGGCTGAGAATCAGATACAAATCGGCAAAGGAGCTGTCGTACCCGCCGTTGACAACCGTAAAGGGATAGAGCCGACCAATGGACGTCGGGAATCCGCTGAGAATACCTGGAGGGGAGCACAATTAGAGCAGAGCCGCGCAACTACATGCCATCCGCTGACAAAGGGTTCAGCTACCCGCCGGGGAAGGTGCAGAGACAAAAAGCAAATTAATATTTTATTTACATACATACATCTGTTTTGTTTAGGTTTTAATTTGAGAGAGTTTTGTTTTTGTTAGAATCCTGTTTTATTGAGATATTTATTATGATTATAATTCAAGAGATACTTAATAGTTATTATAGTTTTGCCATTAAAAATATTTTTTTTTTCCAAAACGATAGATATTATTATAAATCAAAATGCACAAATGTGTGAATACAAGCAGCCCCTAGCTGAATGCAACAACCAACAACTGAAAAAGTGGGAGTACAGGTCAGAAGACCGCCTAGAATCCCGATGCTAGCAAAGCTAGAATAACACCACTCGCAACTACACTAGACCTACTACACAAACAAAAAACTGAAACTACTAAAAAAAGATTCCACCAGAATAATACTCGAGAGTCCGATCCCAACAGTATAATAAGTTGACACTCAGGAGCACTTAGGCCAAATGGCCCAAACCAAAAACACAAACCTAAACAACTCGAACGCGAACACAAAGAGAACAAACTAAGATAGAGGGACATAATCAACCAGCAAAGAAGACCCTTCCCCAACGGGAAAGCTAAACCCAGTACAAGGCACCAACGAAATAAGGACTAACCATCCCACAGCTTGACCCAAAATCCAGTACACCACTCCAGCCACAGCCTAATGCCTAGCAAAGGACGAGTCCCGAACATCGAACCACTCCAAGGATGAAGTCGACCCATAGCCAGAGGAGTATCGACCAATCCCCCACACCAGTTACCCGAGACCCTTCCAACACCACTGGCCTAGGTTCGGGCATGCAGGCATCCCAAAGCCACAACACCAAC